CGTCTGTAAGTCGGGGCAACTCATACGTCCAGCCCCCCTATGGTGGGTGGGAGGAAGAAGCCGTGCTTGTGGCCATGTTCAGATATCAGCTACTGTTCTCTGGGATTTGGGGGGGCCGTATGGGGCTTGAGCAAACTGTCAGGAGAGGTGGGGAATTCTGGGGTACTCTTGGTCACCCATCCTTAATCCCCACAATGGTGGAGGACGGTGTGTGTTTCAGTCATCATGCACATTTTATAGATGAGGTCATGGAGGCTCAGAGAAGCTAAGCAACCTGCCCAAGTCCACACAGCGTGCATGTGGTCACTGCAGGGGTGGAGGGAAGGACTCCGGGGACAGGGACAGGTGACGCCAGCTCTTTCATCTCTCATCAGTAGGGTATCCAGGGAGGGACCTGTGAGCTGGTCCTGTGGCTCCTGGCCCCATCTTCCTCTCCATCTGCCTGCCTGGCTCTTGTTTCATAAAAGCGCTTGGTGGACTTTAAAAGCCCCACTGTGTGCACCCCAAGATCACGAGCCGTGCTTCTGGCAGTGGCCTGGTCCAGCTACTACATCCCTCTGCACCAGGCTTCTGTGGAAGTGGGTGGCCCTGGGGATTGACGTGGCCCCACGCTTGCTCACGTGGACAGCCCTGTGTGTGTGTGTGTGTGGGGAGAGGGTGCACACAGGTGTGCTGGCACACACACCACACCCACCCCTGGGGGAGAACACGCTTTCGGCTGGTTGGGCGGAGGACGGGGTGGGTTTTCTTGTGTTGACCAGTGGTAGTGGTTTGAGGTGATGCCCGAGTGTTTGTGTACTCTGGATTCTGGCATGGCCCTCCTGTTCCAGGTCACCTGCTGGATCCTGCGATGGGGAGACCCAGGGCACTGCCTTGAACCTGGCCTGGAACCTGACCTTGAACCTGACCTGCAGCCTGAGAGGCATCTCTTGGGCTGAGCTCACACACCCAGGTGCAAGAGGGCACATGCCAGCTGTTGTAAGCCACAGGATTTGGGGGGTGTGTTTGTTACCCAGCGCGATCACTCGCGGCGATAGCTGACAGAGGCACTGATGGGTGCCCGGGATTCCCTCCCTCCAGACAGCAGACCACGAGAGCATGCAGACCCGGGTAGGCGGCAGCGTGATGCAGGAAGTCTCAGGTTCTTTATTGGCATAAATAGTTCAGACATTGGATTCTCACTAAACATTGCACTAAACACGAGAAACGGTAGGCCTGCCGGCTCAGAGGCTCACAAAGTGTCCAACAGCCGAGTTAGAAAGACTTTTTGAGAAGTTGGTAGAAAACGTTATAAATGATTCTGTACAAATATACACGGTGGACCCTCCTCCATCCGGCCTCCTGCCCCGGACGGCATCGGAATCCGACATTCCTTCCCAGCAGCGAGTGACAGAGACAGAGACCAGACGGACAGAGTCCAGAGGGAAAAAGAGGGGAAGGAGTGGCCCCGGGGGACAGCGAGAGACCCACCTCATCCACCGGCTCCTCTGGGACACAGAGCAGACAGCGACGTGGCGGTGGGTCCCCTGGCTGTGCGGGCGCCGTCTCTGTGGGGTCTATGTCGAGGATGTATAGGGCTCTAGGTACTTGGCCATAGAAAAAGGTGACGGCGTCATTTACACAGAAAGCCTTTTTACAATCGAGGACGTTGCCTAAGGTCCACGACGTCGAGAGCCACCAGCCCAGAGTCGTGTGGTCAGTCCGTGGAGTGGGCCCCAGGGCAAGGCCAAAGGTCCGGGGGAGAGACTCTGGAGGCCTGGGTGGGGACACGGTCCACCCGACTTTGGGAGGGTCTCGGTCCCACACGGTCACAGGCCGCTCAGCTCCGTGCCCCTGTGACCCTCCTGGGCCTCCCCCTCGGGGCCTGGAGGAAGGAGGTGGGCAGGGGCTCCGGGGCTCCTTAGGACGGAGCCTTAGGGATGCTCTGCCCCAGGACAGCTGGGGACAGTCTGAACTCCAGCCTCTAGGGACACAGGGGACACCCGCTTCCTCTCTGGTCCAGTCCCCTGTCTTTTCAGGAATGCCCCCAGGAGGTGGAGTTCTGGGGGGTGGGGAGTTCAGTTGGGTGATAGAGAAGCCACACTTATTGAGCACCTACTGTGTGCCAGGTATTGTGTGACGCAACGGACGGTGACGATTTCATTCACGGCCCTGAGCCACCTTGGGGTCAGCCAGGGACTGGGAGCTACGGGCTGCAGCAAGGACACCCAGGAATACCAGGAAAGAATCGCTGCTGCTGTGACACCGTCAGCGAGACCGTGAGCCACAGCAGGGACTGGCTCAAGAGCCGTGTGGTGAGTCAAAACCAAGCGGGTGAACGCACAACCACACACACCCTGGGAGTCCCAGAGTCAGCAGAGGTGCTGTGTTTTTTGTCCTCCGAGCCCTGCCAGGTGTTCACAGCGACCGAGGATGCACTATCCCACTGACGCGATGGTGCATCCTCCTCCACCCTGTATGACAGACCTAGCTTGTGGCCCACTATGACCCCAGGGTCTTCTTCAGCCACTTCTCTAACAACCCATCACCACTGGAATGTGTATCTGGGGGCCTTTGGTGAAGGGTCTTTCCTCGGGTGCCTGTCCACGTTCACGCATGTTCTCGATCTCAACCCTCCAGCGGCCCTTAAACTGTTCAGGGAAGAGGCCACAGCGAGACTGCTGGGGGAGGTTTCGGGTGTGGCAAGTCAGATCTTTGGGCCTCCAAGAAATCAGACCCAAGAGGAGGCCAAGGAGGAGCAGAAGCAGAGACAGAGAAGAAAAATGCTTCAGAGAGAAGAGTAGAGACGACCCAGGTGCAGCAGAGATGCCCAAGGACAGCGGAACCTGGTGCCGGGCCACAGAAGAGCCGGAACTCACCCTCCATGGTGCGAGGGCAGGCAGCAGCAGACAGGGCCAGACTTCAGCAAGCACAGACCATGCTTGGACAGCCCCCCGGCCCGACACTGAGGTAATAGCAAGGCCCAGGAGAGAATCGAGGTCTCCACGTCTGAGCCAAGAGCACTTTCTAGCTGGGGTAAGGCAGGGAAGGGCAGGCAGGTGCCCCCAGGCAGCTTCAGCCCCCGGTAAACCATGGTCTTGCCTCTGAGCCTGTGCATAGGCTGCTGTTCCTCCTTCCTGGCACACTGTTCCCTACTCCCCACTCCCACTCTACACCGTTCAGAAGCCTCCTCCTCCAAAAAGCCTTCCTTGAGGGCTTAGTCGGGGGTGGGTGCTCCCAGGGACCCCTCAGGCTCAGAACTCTTCCCACTCTCCCACTGGACCCCAGGGACACCCAAGGCAGAGGCCACTTTCCACCCCCGTTTTTCCCCCAGAAGCGCAGGAGGCCCTTGGCCGACTTTCATTGAGTGACTGTATGACATGAAGTCCTGGGGGACCAAGGGAGGAGGGCTGCTGGGCTCTGGGCTCTGGGGAGGATTTAGGGAGCAGGGCTGGGGACCCCAGGCTTTGGAAATAGGCGGTGGCTTTCCCCAGCAGCTCCCCAGGAGGTATTTACAATCCAGATGGGCCGAGGTGGATGCCCCGGGGGTCCTGGGGGCAAGGCGGGCGGCAGTGGGGGGTGCAGCTTGGAAGTGGGAGGGGCCGGAGGGGATGGTCCCGTGGCCCACTTGGGCTGAGCCTCTGTGCTCTGAGGCTTGTGACATTAACTCCTGATGGTCAGGGGTGGAGTGTTTGGGAAGTGGGTCTGGGGACAACGACCTGCAGCATCCTGGTCCAACTGCAGCTGGTGGTCCACTAGGACCCCCGGGGTGGGAAGAGAAATGGCGGCTGCCCGGAGCGGGGCGGGGCTGGCGGGAGGCGGCGGGTCTTGGCCACGCCCCCTCCCACCTCTGTCCTGGGCCTGGGGAAGGCGCCAGGGCAGGGAGGCGGGTGGGGACAATGAGCCCCTCCTATCTACACTGCAGCTCCCGAGCGGTGTCTGGTGTCTCCATTTTAAAGGTGATCAGAGTGGTCATGTTTGCAGCCCAGAAAAATAAGCAGAGGAAACTGGGGCGGGTAGAGACCAGGGCACGGCCTTCGGGTCCAGGGAGCGGCCAAGGCCAAGCCCTGGCAGGGCCGGGAGGGGCGACTGGACCCAGCCGCCTTCTAGAAGGTGCGTGGCCCCCAGGGGCCCCATTCCCCAAGCGACGTGCCAAGCCTTAGTCATCTCTTTGCAGTGCCCAGGGGCCGGATTCCAGGGTTGGGGCAGCAGGACCTAAGGGTGTCCACATCCACCACCCGCCACCCGGGACCAGGTCCCTCAGGTCGGGGCGTGGCGTCACCTGGTCCCGGGTCTGCTCCACAGTAGCGGGGACCAGAGGGGCGGCGCCAGGAAAGGACCTCAACACTGCGGGTGGGGAGGGGTCGCCTTTCTGGGGAAGGCAAAGGGGACATTCCTGAGAGTCTTGAGTCACCAGAAAGCAGCTGGAGGAGGGCCTGTGGGGCCCAAAGTTTTAGGACATAGGGAGGAGGCCCTGGTGCTTCAAAAAAGGCCTTTTTTTGTTTTGTTTGGGTTTTTTTTGGTGCTGGACATTGAAGCCAGGGACACTTGACCACTGAGCTACATCCTCAGCCCTTTCCATTTATTTGTTTGATTCAGGGTCTTGCTAAATTGCTTAGGGTCTTGCTGAGTGAGGCTGGCCTCCAGCTTCAATCCTCCTGCCTCAGCCTCCGGAGTTCCTGGGCTCACCACCTCCCCTGCCCCGCAGCTTCACTGGAGCTTTTAAAACCTGTCTCCCCGCCTGGCCACCCCAGGGGCCTCCTCCTGGGCCCGAGTCCCTCTGTCTGGCTCTGTTTGTTCCCATGGAGGCTGCCTGGCAGCTGCTGGGTTGGAATCCTACAGTGTGGTGCCAAAGCACACCCTCGGGCAATGTCTGGAGACATTCTTCTGGATGTCACATGGGGGTGGGGGGGTG